GAATCATGTTGTGCGAGGTCGAGTACCCTCACTCCGCGCAAAGGGGATGATCGCACGTTGTGTTAAATTGGTCTAGCACCCTCGAGGCAGTTACACAGTGCTTATAACTGTTTCTGGAGGTGAAAGCGCCAGAAAATAAGTTAAGTCATACGCAGCTGTCATCCGTACGCAAGGAAGTAAGCACAAGATGCCGAACACCCTTACCAGGATGCAGCGCACCCTTCATGCGACTCGCCGAATACCTCACGGCGCTTCGCGCTTGGTGATGTGAGAGCCTGGTCCGGTGAGAACCCGGCGTGCTCCGTCCCGGCTTTGTAGGGACGCGAGGTCAATGGTCTAACAACTACGGCATGCACGACAATGAGTACACAACCTCCCCCCCCACCCCCTCCCAGCACTGAATCTGAAGTAACGGCTGTTGGTGCACCCCGCACCTTCCTGAGTTGCTTATTTTGCAGCCGGCGTGTTTTGGGGCTCCGCTCTTATCTGTATTCGCATTGGCATACCACAGAGGCGGGTTATTGTTTTTAATGCCAAGTCGGACCTGAGCACCTGTTCTTATGGCCAAGTTCTTAGATTTTGGATTTTGTGAGGCTCAAGTTCTTAGCTGCTAAGTTCTCATGTGGTGGCGCGTTCTGTAGCCGAAGCGGTTACTTGTAGACTGTTACCAACGAGATATGTAGTGCATTCGCTGCTTGAGTGATTTCTGGCTGCTTCCTATTGACGTATCCGACAGGCCGGGGGCAAACGCGATGACGAGTGCCATTCCGAGCGTCCTCCGTAGGGCAAAGCACGAACTTTCCTTCGCCTGACCATGACCGCGCATATTAAGTACGACCCCGCAACCCGCCTACCACGCCAACTGCTCTCGCGCGTTCCCGCCAGCTATCGACAAATCAAGCTGTGCCTTCGGTTTGCAAGGCGCAATGCCGACGCACTCAGCGTGCAGCAAGTCGGAATTGATGACCAAGAACTCTCGAACACATCGACATTCGCGGCGGGATAGAGGAAGCACCCGACAAGTAAGCGGAACCAGGGTGCCTTGCGAGCTCGACGCCGGAGCGGTGGATGCTGGGGTTAGCGGTGAAGCAACTAGGCTTGGTGTGTTGTCACGCAGGGGGGAGGGTTCGCTCGAACCCAGTACAAGATCACGTGGAGCTGCGAGCAGGGGGGGGAAGCCAAAATCGTTGGTCAAGTTGAAATCAATATTGCTTGAAGCGAAAGGCAGGGATTGGAGAACAGCGTTGGCTGCTTTAGATGAGTTCAAGATCTCTGGCGGCAGTCTAGACACGACATCGTACAACATCGCCATCGCGGCGTGTAGCAACGGGAGACAGTGGGCCACAGCTGTGAGGTTGTTGAGAGAGATGCCGACGGAGGGAGTGACCCCCGATGTGGTTACCTACAACTCAGCGATCGCTGCCTGTTCAAAGGGGGGTCGATGGAAAGAAGCTATGGACCTCCTGACACAGATGGTTGCACCGACGGAGGGAATAACCCCCGACGTGGTCACCTACAACTCAGCCATCGCTGCCTGTTCAAACGGGGGGCGTTGGAAGGAAGCTATGGACCTCCTGGAGCAGATGGTGGCACAAGGAGTTCCACCGAATTTAATCACGTACAACTCAGCCATTGGTGCATGCGCAAAGGGACGACGGTGGGAAGAGGCTATGGATCTATTGGAAGAGGTGATAGAGCAGGGCTTCCCCCCTAGCACCCGTACCTACAATCCGGTCATCGACGCTTGCGCTAAGGGAGGCCGGTGGCTGGAGGCCATGGATCTCCTAGGACAGATGTTGACCAACGATATTCCAGCCGATGTAATTTCGTATAGCTCAGTCATCGCTGCTTGCGGGAGAGGGAGACGATGGAAAGAAGCTATGGATCTCTTGGAGCAGATGCGTACACAGGGAGTATCCCCGAACGTGATCAGCTACAACTCAGCCATCGATGCTTGTGCCAAAGGAGATCGGTGGAAGGAAGCTCTGGATCTACTTAGGGAGATGACAACGGTAGGGCTAGTTCCCACTGTCATCAGCTACAACTCGGCCACGGCGGCCTGTGCAGTGAACGGCCGGTGGGTTGAGGCTTTGGAACTGCTGAAGGAAATGCCGGCACAAGGGATAGCCCCAAATACTATCAGCTACAACAGCGCCTTGGATGCTTGTGCAAAGGGGGGACAGTGGGAGAAAGCTGTCAAGCTGTTGAGAGGGATGTCAACAGTAGGGTCAGACCCCGACATCATCAGCTTCAACTCCGCCATCGATGCTTGCGGAAGGGGGCAGCAGTGGGAGACGGCTGTGGAGCTGCTGAGAGAGATGCCAACGGCAGGGCTAACCCCAAACGTCATCACGTACAACTCAGCCATCGAGGCGTGTGGGAGGAGTGCACGGTGGCAAGAGGCTATGGGTCTGTTCCGTGAAATGCCCACCCGCGGGTTGTCGCCAAATGTGGTCACGTACAACAGTATGATCGACGCTTGTGCAAAGGGGGAACAGTGGGAACTGGCTGTGCAGCTTCTTACGGGAATGCCAGCACGGGGGGTGGCTCCTGATGTCATCAGTTACAACTCAGCCATCGAAGCGTGCGGAAAGGGGGAACAGTGGGAGCTAGCCTTACAGCTACTTAAGGGAATGCCCACGCGGGGGCCGAAGCCAGACATCATCAGCTACAACTCAGCCGTAACTGCATGTGCTAAGAGTGGACGATGGCGGGAGGCTCTCGGCTTGTTAAAAGACATGGCAACGGTAGGGTTAACCCCGAATACCGTCAGCTATGGCGCAGCGATTCATGCTTGTGGAAAGGGGGAGCAATGGGACGTGGCTGTACGAATCTTGAAAGAGATGCAAACCCACGGAGCAACCCCAAATTTGATAACCTACTCGGCCGCCATTGATGCATGTGCGAAGCAAGGTCGTTGGAAGGAAGCTGTAGACCTACTTACGGATCTCCGGAGGCAAGGGTTAACTCCCGACGCCCAAACCTACCTCACCGTCATATCTGCTTTTCAAAGATGTAGCGACTAGTTTTGGTAAGGCGTGAAAATGATTGTGGCTAGGGTGGAGGCTGTTTTAGCTGTCTGGGGGTGTCATCTTTTTGGACGTCATGAACCAACCCTCCAGGGACTTGGTGTAGTGACGAAGGGCGGAGGGACTGCGTCGTGGAAGATAACCATCCAACGGGGAGTGACCGCTGAAAATATTGACAAATGGACCATTGGGCTCTTTCTCCAAGGCCAAGTGGACCTTCTATTATCATGTACCACCTTCCAACACCAGTGAAGTGAAGATCCATATACTCGATGTTTCGTTCTTTCCGGTTTCGGGTGGTCCAACCGCGGATCATTTCATGAGGATATATTGTACAGGATGATGCCTTCCACTTATGGGCGCTTCTTCTCACGTTTACACTTCCACATGATGAATATTTGGAAGATATCTACAAGAATTCGAACCAAGTACATGTAGGGCCCAAATACAATTTTACTGTCGTTTCTAATTTTTTGTTTTAGTTTCTTTTCTCTTTGCCGTTGAACTCGATTCGCAAAGCAACCTCTTTTTCGGAAACTCTCACCCTAAATTGTTGACAATGGCCCTTAGCCCTGTGATACAATCTGTGAACACGAGGAGCGTGCGCGCGAAATCTCCAACCTGTTGAATGCCTCCTTAACACAAGGAAATTTACTACGCTGTCTAACGACCGCTGGTATTTACTTAACGTAAAGGCCGGCAGGTTACGCTCCGTGGTATTTGTTGAAGATCCCTCACAGTGATGCTCTTACTTGGCTGGTTCTCCTCCAGATGTCTGCGGGAAGGAACGCGCAGTACAGCAACAGAAAATAGGTGCAGCAACCCTTGTTGATTACCTTGTACATGTCATCTTGAGAGTTGGTTTTTCGTCTGTGCAGTGCGTTCACAGATACATGGCTTTGTCCGTCTACCTTACCTATTGCTCATGTTGGTGGGGGGGTCGCTCCGCAACGGACACCGACCACGAAAGCCCGAAGGGTAAATCATCAACCTGCGCTCATGATTGACAAGGTGCAAGAGTGCTTGAGAAGCTGTCGAGGACTGACTCTAAATCCAGCGGTTTGATTCTGGGTCAAGGATTGAGGAGTGCGTCCGGTCATCTTGATACGGGGCAAGACGTAACGGCAGCGACTCCTACCCGACTGCATTCTGCCAACCCTGGCGATCGAAGAGCCGAGAATTAATCTTGTGGTTCGCGTGGCAGGACAGTTTGTACCTGATGACGGAAACATACCTTGATGTGGCAGTGCACTAGGGCGAAGGCGTTGTGGACAGCATGCGCCACCATCGGCACGAAGATGTTTCCCGTGGAGAGCAGTAGACAGTGGAAGAAAATACCATTCAAAGTGGCGTTCAGGAAGTACGCCAACGACACGGCGTGGAGCACCTGCAATTGTTGGCGCACGATTTGTTTTTGCCGGGGCTGTTGCTGTTGCATACTCCATTTTTTTGTCAAACAACGTGACTCGTCAAACTATCCGCCCTCGTCCCGTGGATAAATGACAAACCACGACAGAACAGCGGGTTCAAGACGCGGCATTTCCGCGTACTTCAGGTTGTTCTTTTCCACACGTGACCGTGTCTTACCCCGCAAAAGATCCCCGAGAGGACCACGATGGCGGCCGTTGGCAAGCTGGTGTGGGTTGCGAGTATGAGGGGTAGAAGTCCTCGGAACCCGCACTCTTCGGAAGCGCTGACAAGCATCGACAAGGGGATCGAAACCGCGGCCACCTTTGTCACCTGCGCAGTAGGCGGGTTCCGAAACTCGAGGTTTGCGCACGTGATAACCAAACAGAATACATGAACTTTCAACACAAACACGTCATGGAGTTCGGCGATTGCGCAATCGGATTGTGCAGTATCACGACCATCGGTTGACAACGACTATCCGAAAAAGCAACTGCGGTGAACGTTGTGATGTTGGTAGAGATCCGCAACAGCGAGGATGTGAACAACACTGGGGATGAAAAATTCACCTGCCGTTTGCTCCCGAAGAGCTTGAGAACGGCGCGTTCCGTCGTGGCCTGGGCCTTTCGCACCCAACCCCAGTCCCGTCGCGTTTCGAGGAACAGTCCATACGCGAAAAGTGGTAGTGACCCGAGTATCCCTACACAGGCGCCGTGTAGTGTCACACTCAACGAAGATTTCACCTGCCCGCCTGATGGGTATTTTTTAGAGCGCACACCGGCATCGCATCGCGGAGATGTGAGGGGGCGACTCGTTTCTGAAGGTCGACACTGAGTCGTTGATTGTTCGCCCCTTCTCAACATGTAGAATCAGAAAGCCGGCACCCGGAACACTCACCCTGAGCGAGGTCTTTGACCTGCTCGTCTGACCGGCCGCTTTACATACATGGTGGTGGTACTTTTGGCCTTTACTGGCCACATGGGCTGTCACTAACCTCAAACTCGTGCAAAAATCGAAGGCACGTCGATTCTTCGTCGACAAGGGAGACAAAAGAGAAGCCCGTCCAAAACGTGCGGGAAGAACGGGGGAGGGCATCTTGTTTCATCTCTTGGTTTTTGGGCTACCGTTCGCGTTTATGTGTCGGGGCGCAGAAGCTATAGCCAGCGTCGAATAAGCAGTCTTCTAGGCTATTGTTAGCGCGTTGCGACAGTAATCGAGCTCACGAGAGGGAGTGTGATCCGCTGAGAACTCGTCAACGACATCGCGACTTGATTGGCATGCCTGTTGTTCCAGACACACCAATACTGTCCATTTACTTCAATGTGAAGCACTGACTCACGCATTGCTGGCTTGGCGAGCACAGCAAAAATCCCGAAGAAAAGTGGCTGCACCAAGATATCCTCGACGAGCAATCGCCAGTTTATCCCCGTCCGCGCACCAGCGGAATCAACTGCGCCGTCGGCGCTTCTGTACCATCCATCCCGACTTGGAGCCGCGGACAGTAACGCCTTTTCGAACTCCTCGAAAGACAAGACGTCGTCTTCTTGGTCGGAAGCGGCATCGCGCGAAGACGAGACCCCCCTCGGCAAGTCTTTCGAGCGAACAGCCCAGTCCCATCGACGAATTCGTCGCCGGCTGCATATTCCCGCCCTTTGCCGGAGGAAGTACCCGCCGCCTCGCGCTCGCGCGGCTCTCCTTTGTCGACGCGTGCCGAAATGATTCGGGCTGGCGTGTGGATTAAACCTGTTTTGGGCACATGGATGATGGGATGGGGGTCTCAGGTGGTTGCACAACAACAAATGGCATGCAACATACCAAACAGCAGTCAAGTTTCATCGGGTTCTTATGTTTTTCCTCCGACAGCCTGGAGATAAATGATTAATTTATCTCCAACCCCGATCAACGCGTTGTATTAACTCGCGCGTTTGCAAGTTGTCTTCCTTCTTGCCACCGTTGGCAAACCGGAAAACGAGCTTGTGGACTTGGTCGAGGTGTCTTGTTCGGATTTCTACTTGCAGTAGAAATGTTTGCAGGCATCAAGATGCACGAAGTAGGCGCCCTACGAGTACAAGCAAAAAAAAATACTAGTACAGGCGAAAAAAAATGTCTCCACGTACATTTTGTGGAAAACACCAAAAGCAAGATCTTTGTCTCGCACCTCGTAATGTTGTTGAACCTACAATATGCGAGCACGAAGATGCATAGTTAGTGTACTGCTGTTGGAATTACTCTATGACTTACACGATGCTACAGAATTTGTTGGTTACGTGGTGGTGGGTCGTGCGATTGCGCCGACAGCCGAGGACTTCACGAACCTAAAAAAGAGAAACTCGTCCAGGTTTGTACCTGCAGCAGTCTTTCGAGCACGGTGCTTACACCTCGCGGTTACGCACTAGCCTACCTGGTTATCGTGATGTTAAAATGTAAACTATGCATATGAGGGTGTCGCCGTGTCGCCTGTCTTGTGCATGTTTACAGCGCCCACATGAGCTCATATGAGCACCGGTCAAGAACACCCGATACAGCAGTTGCACTGGATGTAGTCTAGGTACTGCTGTAGCATACCAGCGGACCACTACTACTACTGCTGTACAGCAGTGCGTAATTCCCTCTCCGGAAATGATAAAGCATACCCATTTTTGCTATCACCTCTGTCTCTACAACAGGAGCGGGCAAGGCGGGACGTGCACGGGGACATCACAACTGGGCAACAAGCGAACGCGCTCATACGGGCACAGCAGTACCTGCCAGTGCACAGGGAGCGGTCCAGCATGGTGGTTCACCTCTCACCTTATCGGTGGTGAAACCACGAAGGAGAGTCCCGGCAGGGAGCACGTTAAGCAACACAGCATGGAAGCCGCTGACATTGTCTTCGTCGGAGGGCGAGCAAGCCGCGGGCAAAACGGGCACGGGGGCATGCAATGGCGATGGGCGATGGAGGATGCAGGGAAGTTGGTTCACCCACTCGCGAACCAATCAGGAAACTTCTGACAGTCCCGTGTTCCGTTATCCAATGCATGCAGCAGCGTACAGCAGTAAAGCACTTGTCTCATGGTCCCACGATCATCTCCTCTGTTCACGACACCACGCTGTAGTGCTAGGAGCTCTCTTTCTCTCCTCTATTAATCTCTCTCCCCCTCTCCTCCCCCTCCCCGACTCTCTTCTTAGTAGCTTCGTTTGGGGCCCTACACAACTGCTGTGATCGTGAGGGTTCAAATTTTCAAATTTTCGAGTTGGGGACCTCACCAACACACTTACGATGCGAGAGATTGTGAACCATTTGACCGGGGAAGAAGCAACCAACTGGTGTTGTTGGAAGAGTACTGCAGAGACACAGATGCAATGCGGTACATGGGCTTGAGGGCTTTGCTCGGGGAAGCTGCGAACATCCAACCAGTCACAGCCACATGATTACGAAGGTATAGACTAGGTCTCCTAGACACATAAATAACTAAATAACACACAAGGCAGTCAACGGCACGTAGATTTAGATTGGCTTGTCGAACACCAGGTGTGGTCGGATCTACATTGTTCCGAGACTTTAGCGTCTGTGTCCGTCTAGGGGTTTAGTCTACAGGAACAGCCGAGCAGAGAACGGTTTTTCATTGTTGGTGATGTTGAGGAAGAGGGCACTATTGTACGCTCAACTACACGAGCGAGCAGAGGAGCACGAAAATATGGGAGAGGTGCTTCACCGCTGTACCCACCGGTGGAAGTCTGAAACTGCTGAAGCTCCCTACTCCGCGGTATTTGTTGTGTCTCGGAATCCGATCAATGTGCCGCCCTTCCCTTGGCAAGTAATGTCCTTGCGTGTAGGGTGGGAAAATGCGAACTGTACTATATGAAAGTATATCTGCGTCTCGCCGACCAGTTATATCGGAGCCGTCCTTGGTTGCTGCTATTTTTTGTGGCATTGATTTTGCTCTAGCCAGGAGAATGTTGGCGTGGCGACAGGCAAGGGAGGGCATTTTAAGTTTCCGAAAGTCGTCTGCAACAGGTGCGAGGCGAACGACGAGAGGTGAGTCGCCTAAAAGTTGGACGGACTTAGGCATGTTAGCTCTCCGAACGAAGCAAATGGCAAAGGCAAAGGTGGCACATCGCAGATATTGTTTACCTCCTCCTATAATAGTGCCAATTCCAACCCGAGTTGAGTTTCAACATGTTCAAAACACACCAAAACTGCACCCCGCCAAATGTAAGGCAACGGTGCGGCTAGGTAGAACCAGGTCCGACACTACAGCTTCGTTTAAACACACGACAGCACAAGCCAAAGAGAGGTCAACCGCCTACATACTACACGATACAGAAGAAAATAAATCAGGGTTGCGCGTGTATGTGGAAACGTATTAAGACGTCAGCAGCACACAAACAAAAGAGAGCCAGCTTCAGTGTCTAGGTTACATTGTACACTACGATACAGCAGTTGTAGAAACTGAGCGCTCAAGCCGGCGCCGTGTGCAAAGCGCGCTACCCTCGCAGAGCGGGATCAGCTTGAAAAACGGCCAGACCAAGGCGGCTAGAGGCGACCTCCAACTCCAGCTGACTGCACAGGCCCTGCAAGCGCTCCGCCATCTTCTTGTGACTCTTCGCAGCCTGATGCACCGGACAGTGAGAGAGAGCGTTGGAACGTGCGGTGACCGTCGTTGACACCGCTGTTGCTTGCGGGTCGAAATAAGGACCGCAAGTGGGAAGACCGCGGGCAGTCAACCGTGCGGGTGCGTGAAGAAGATTTTTTTATGCTTACGGGAGACTAATGTCAAGCAAACCCGTCGTCAGGAATAGCGAAACACAGCAGACAGCATAGGTGAATGATTGCAGCTCGGGGGTGATTGCCCCTCGAGTTCATTTCAAGCCCTATTATTTCTTCACAGAGAGCGTGTTGGCAAGGGCAACAAGGAGCCACAAGTTGAACATGAATTTTGTGTCGGGTATCACGCGAGTCGCAATTTAGCTCTCTGACGTCAAGAAAGAAACTCATGCCGTAATCTGTGCAGGTGTCTTCGAGGTTTAGCTCAAAACCCAACAGTCGAGCGGAGTTCGCTACGGCGGTACAGTACCCGACAAAACAACACGCACGCCCTCACCTCTTCGCTTGCCACCACTTCCCTCAGAACAGCGCACTCAGCCTCCATCGATGCCCTGCTGGCGAGGAGCTCCTTGGTCTGGAGGAGGAGGAGGAGGCGTGTACACCGCCGGATTGAATAGATAGGGGGAAAATGCGACCGGCGAGGGAGGGGAGGAGGGGGGTCAAAGGGTGCGGAGGACACAGGATGGGTCCATGCGTTGTCGATTTCCTTAAACTTCATCTAAGTACACTGCAAGGTATCCTGCATCGAAAAACCCTCAAAGTCTACTGCCACGATTGTTAGCATGTTGCGATGGGTGCACTGCTGTACTGCTGTGGCGTGGCAGGATAAAATAATACAAAGGTCCGTGAGTTGAGAGGACCTCTGGAATGATCCTCCTGCACAAGTCCATCAACAACTTTCAACGATGACTGAATGCAAATTCGCCGCGATGTCCCGCCGAAAACAAAGATCCGGGGCTTTGTCGATCAATCAGCCATTCCATCTGGGCCACAGAACTCCAAAAACCATGATCACCCCGTGGTAAACAGCAAGCCCCGGCCGTCGTTGTTTCGAATCAATGATCGACCCGTCCGTTGTGATTCATCTCCAGCACCCTGACAGCGATGCGATGGCGACTTCGAGCCCCCCGCGGTGACCAGAACAGCAAGCCCAAGGTCGGGATGACCTTAGGCCTGCTCGTGTTCTTCTGGTCGCCGCGGGCGGCTCGTAGTCGCCATCGCATCGCTGTCAGGGTGCTGGAGATGAATCACAACGGACGGGTCGATCATTGATTCGAAACAACGACGACGGCGGCTCGCTGTTAACCACTGGTGATCATGGGTTTGGAGTTCTGTGGCCCAGATGGAATGGCTGGGTGATCAACAAAAGCCCCGGATGTTTGTTTTTGGCGGGAAATCGCGGCGAGTTTGCATGCGACCCGACTGCCGTGATACTAAAAGTGTAACGGCTACAAATGGCGGGCGCGAGGTACCTTGGCCTCCAACCCAGCCGACATGGCCTTCCGCTCGTTGAGGATGTTCTGGATCTTGGTCAGGCTCCGCTCGCGTTGGGTAGTGTCGGCCTTCAGCTTGGCGTGTGAGGCCGTAGCGCGCTCCAGCTCCACCTGCAGGCTATCCGCCCTTGCATCCGCGGCCTTTCGTTCGGCTTCCTACAGATGCGTTTCGTGAAATTTTTGCGGGGGCGGGACGATTGTTGATTCGAGCCGTCCGTGGTGCACTTAGGGCTTGTGCAACGCGCTACGACTTGATATTTCATTGCTGCCCTTGGGCGTCCAAGACTTTCGGGAAACGCAGGCTTGAGTGTGCGTTGTACCGTTGACCAGGTCATCATCATGGGGGATGAGATGCGGCACCGGCACCAGGCGGATGTCAAAAACATGCGAGACACAATTGTCCCGCTGTGTGCCGTCACCCCGCACCTGCTGTTCGCACTTGGCGCTCGCGATCTCGACCCGGAGGGATGCCGGAGTCAGCTGCGCGGCGCAAGCCTCCTTGCTGTGTTTCCGCCGCAACAAGTAATGTAGGCACAAATATGAACGACCGAAACGCAAAAGGGGGATCAGCTTGAGCGTTGGAACGTTTCGACAGTGCAGTAATTCGCTCCTTCCGCTTTGATCGGGGGGGGGGGGAGATTTCCCAAAAAAAAACATTGGATGCGACTGGCGATACATGCAATCCTCCACCGATGTATACGGCTGGTGAACATACGCCAGTCTCACTATCTCGAAAAACAATTCGCGTGCATGGAACTATCGTCACAGACGGATAGTGACGGCGGAAATTCCAACCGAACAATCGAGCAGAACACAAATCCCTGTTGTGAAATCAAATGTTTGCCGGAAGCAAACACGCCCTTTGCCCACATCATTGCCTGTCCGAAAGCGGCAGCTGCAAGAGCCTCTCACTACTTCACTGCGGTCAAGATCGCCAAACGCGGCGGAAAACCAAGCGGTTTAGTTTTTCCCCCACAGCAGTTTACGCCGCTTTCACCGCTTCTTTTTCTTCCCCTTTCGCAGGTATCTCACGAAAGCCCTGTTATACAAGCTCTTTTCCGACTCAAGCAGTCTGACGACTTCGGGCCCTTCAGATCGGTGTATCGACCAGCCGACTTCGCGAGTTCCCATGGTTCTCGGAACGGTTCTTCTGACAGTTTGAAGTGCCCGCATGAATCCTGCTTTTACAACATTGCGTCCTCAAAACTGAAATACTGAAAAACAACCAAAACACACTCACCCAACCATTTCATGTCAGCAATCCAGTCATCCAACAGGTCGCGCACCTGAGTCTCGTTTGCTCGGCGAAGCTGATCAGCTTCGCGCGCAGCTCGTCGTTGTCCAGCCGTTGCTGCCGCCGCCTCTCCGCCTCAAGCTTGAGCTTCTCCTGGATGCTGGGAACCGCCGTTTCGAACTTTTCCCTGAGTTCGGCGCTGCGCGCCTCCTGTCACGGCATTGTCGCGAAAATTTGGGCCGTGAGAGACGGAGAGCATTGACATGCTTCCACACACGCACACTCAATATTGAGTCTTTTGGCTACAAGGTGCTGGTGAGGGCTAACCCGAGTACACCTCAGCCCCGCGTTGCGTGCTCCTTGTATGTATTGGAGCTGAGTAGAATAAGCGGGGGCGGGTGGGTTGCCAAAGCTCTGTTCGTTGTTGAACAACGACAAAATAAGTCTACCTTCGTGGCCCTCGCTCTTTATATCTCGGTAACCCCTTAGTTCTTGAAAGGAATGTTCGTTAGTGTTTGTGGTATGTGTAGGCACTAACAGACCAACCCGTAGGGGCGGCGCCGATGGGTCCGTTGTCACCGTTCAGGAACGTCACAAACTGCGCCATGGAATTCAAGCTTTAATCGGTTGGCGATGCGTGGAAGGGTTTCAGGCACCAGCTGTACGCACGCACAGCGGATTTTCCTGTTGTAGAATGATGAACCAAAATGCAGGCAACGCTAAGTAACGCACACGCGTGACGAGATACGAGACGTAACCGAGAATTTGAAGAGCACTGTAGCCGAGAGGAGATAATTTCATTGGTTAACCAAAAAAATACTCCCAACTCGACGGCCTCGACGCTATCGGCGGCTGACAAGCGGACTAAAAAACATGGCTAAACCAGGCGACGAACGCCACTAAACATCCGCAGGAGCGGGGCTTTCGGTAACATCTGCGCTTGGATGATGTTTCACCTCTCCCGCCTTTGCCGTCTTCGAATGCTCGACCGTGAGTTGGTTCAGCTGGGCTTGCTCGCGGCACTTGACCTCCATGCTAAGCTTTGTCACCTGAACAGGCCGTAGCAGCAACAACGACGGCCAAAACCAACGCGCGGAAGAAAGAATTGCATGACACGATACTGAAGAGCTCGGTCCACGGCTCAAAAAAAAATTGGTGACAAAGGCTGTGAGGTAATCACCATCTCTCTTTGCAAGATGAGACTGACTACGGTGGTGTTTTGATTAAACCGTCCGCTCCGTTCAGGGCGTCCCCCAACCCTCCCTTCTCACGCCTCCACGCAAGACAGAAAAACGGCTTGGAGACACACACACACCCGCGCCTACGTTTTCACCAACACACGTACCGGTGGTTCGCGTTGACTGCTCGCGCAAAAAAAAACGCACGCAGATCTACATAGTTTACCTCCGACCCCACGTCATGCCCCGTTTTCCTTCCTCACCTTCGCTCGGCGAGCCGCGGCACGCCTCGTCGCCAGCTCCGCCGCCCCGGCTTGGTTCTTCGCCGCCGCCTCGTTGCAGCAGTCCTCCATGCTGTCTCGCCTCCACCTGGCCTCCACCGCTCTCTGCACTGCCGCGGCGAAAAGGGCTCGGACGGCGTCTACCGGCCACTTCGGAGCCTTCCTTGGCGCAAAGCGACTGTTCGAGGGGGGGGTACACATGTTTAAGCCTTAAATGAAGCCTTAAATGTTACACCATTGACGCCACAAAAGAAGGAGGGGGGGAGGGAGAGACGTGCTCATGCTTGGCATGCCTTAGTTGTTAGATCAATGACCACGCTTCCTCGATAGGACGGAGCATTGTTCCTAAAGGACCGATCACCATTGGCCCAATCGTTCCAGGGGGGGGGGGGGGCGATTTTGGGCGGGTTTCACTACCACCCTGAACGAAACAATTCAACAAAATGCGGTGGGGAAAAGCTAGGCTACTGTGACCAGTGCCCACTTGGCGAGTACATCGCCAAACACCCTTCGGTGGTCCCTGTAGTGATGAACGCCATTCGCGTTTTCCGCCGAAAAGATGCCTCTAATAACAGGCAGTACTTAAGATGTGGCGCCGCACGTCCTGCTTTAGTCGCCTCACATGCGTCGAAAGAGCAACTGCTGTCGTCTTTACGGGTGCCAATCAGCCGTTTCAGAGAGGATAGTCCACAGCAGGTGCGTTGTACGGCGTGTGCGTGTCTGAGATTGGAAAGCTATGTATGTCGTCGTCTCGGCTGGCCAGAAAACAGGAAGTCGTTCTGAGCATGGATGAGTACTGAAAGCGCCGCTACCGCAATACTGCAGCTGTAGTGTTGTACGCTCCCGAACGCGGATAAACACATAAGAACGGCCTCTTGAAATTGAAAGGGAACTCGCCGGACATATCCAATGTCTGAATAAGCTTCTTCCAATAAGAGGGGGGAACGCACATTTTCGGTCGTAGGCGCGAGCTTTTTCGTCGATGAAGATCCTTCCAAGGAAATTTGGCTGCTCAGTTGAGCAGTCAGAATCATGGGCAGCAGAAACACTTTAAATTAGAACGGTGTACAGCGGTGTCGTCCCGAGCAACCGCGCACACCGTCGACCGAAAATATGCATACACCCTCTTATTGGCAGAAGTCTATACCGGAGGATGCCCAAAGCTGCAGTTGCGGACAGAGCTGTTTAGCAGTGTAGCGATTCAATTACTGTTTTCTCCCTTTGGTTGCGGATCTTGTCTATCGTCGATCGTTTCCAGAGTGAGGCAGCAATCTATGGTGGCGCCTGCTGTCTGTGCCACGGTTTTACTGTACATCACACGCATACACGGCCCGCCCGCGGATGGACCGCCCGCTCCTCCTGTAACCGGCTCTCTCGAGACCCAGCGTCTCGATCGGATTGTAAATAGGCGCGTCCCTCTCCACGGGGCGTCTTTTTCCACTCGTCAAGCATGCAACGCATCACTATTACTTTTCATCTCACCAGTGCCGCGTCAAACGCCTGCACAGCAGCCTCATCGTCGCCCGCATCGCCAATGCTGCTACCAGCCTTCGTCCTAGACGAAGAAGGTGCGAGGGGTGCTGGAGGCGTCCCGATCATGTGCTCAACGGACGAAGCCCTCGCTGCTTGTGAGCCTGACGCGGCGCCATTCGCCGCTTTCACTCCGACGACGATGTTATTTAACCCCTCCCCCCCCTTCCCTATCTCATCTCGCGCTCTTCGTACCATCACGCCAGAAGAATCCTAATAGGGCAGAGGGTGCGACCCAACCAACATGGCAGTGGTTCAAAGTCAATGGTTGCATGCCGCGAGCACAGGGTATGTATGAGGCCGGGTCATCTGATCGCATCCGTTGTGCCCCCTTGCGCGTCAAGCTCCCGGTAATCCAGTGGGTCACAAACCCACAAGCCAGCTGAGCTCCACCCAAGCCTCCCATGTGCTCCGAAGAAGCAAGGTGTATCGATTTAGCAAGGTAGTGAAGACAGCGGCACTCTTTGCGACGAGGGAAAAATACATGACACACATACGCGGTACTGGCAACAAGGCGGAGTTTTGTCGCCGGGGTACATGGATCTCTCTCTCTCTCTCTCTCTCTCTCTCTCTCTCTCTCTCTCTCGCTCTCATTCTCTCCCTCTCTCCCTGCCTGTCTTCCGTCTCTCTGTGTATCTATTTGTCTCTCTCTTGTCTCCAACAGAAAAGACTAGTGATACGCCACAGACCATTACTGCGAGATTCATCACATCCGCTATGTACACACTTTTGGCAGCTCTCGTACATTACTTCATTTCGCCAGGGAAAAGTTTTGCCCACATCGTGAAGCATATTCGCTGGCACACGACCTTGAGGGCGCGTGGCGCCACTGGTGGGCACATTCCTGGTGTGTTAAAATGCGCTGACTGACATGGTTTAAGAAGCCGAGGACAAAAAGCCTGCGAGCCGTAATTACTTTTCCCGCACACGCTGAGCCTTTCAGGGGCACCTTCGGAGAGTGTGAAGGTACCGTATAGGTTTGGGCCTCCGTCCCAGCCAACCCCAGGGATCCAAGAAATAATAGCAAAGTACACTTGAGTTTTGGGTAGATGGCCAGGGTGACCACGGAAGACGTCCGCGTTAGTTAGTTGGACTGGTAAGGATGTAAACAGGTGTGTACTGAGGAGAGACCACATTCTTGAAACAACAACCCGCTGCCCAAGAATACCGGCACAGCCAGTACAGAGCGGTCTCTCCTGACCAAAGGCGGCATTCCAACAGGAACCAAAATAACCCGACTGAGGTCCGTCTCGAGTACTATTATTAGAGCACTCGTTCAAAGATGTTAACGTGACTGCTGCCCTCGGAGCGTCGTGATCGTCGTGTCCGGTGTTTGGGTTGAATGATGATTACCTTAACCTGTGTTTTCTCTTGATATCCGTCGAGCTCGCTTTCAGGCAGGCTTCCACCTTCTATGAACGCCTCTCTCCCAAGCCTCGCCCCATCCCCGCTCACGATGTGATCTAAACTGGAAGCTGGAAGCGCGAAAGAGAGTACCAAAAGCGTCCTCCGTCACTACGACCGGAGTCCGCCCGCTCTCTCAACACACGTGATCTAGACTGCTTGCTGCTGTCCCACACGATTTAAGAACTTCCTGTGCCATTTCGTGTGAGAAAAAATAGACCGCCTCTTGCCGACGTGTCAACATCGACAACCGGCTGAGGCACGCTCCCTGTGTTTGCTATTTCTTATCTATGCATAAAGGTGCGACGGAGAAAAGCAGCGCCCCGACTACCCCCTGCCCCCCCGATTATCCGACTATTCCCCTTACGGAAGCCCAACTCCACTCTAATGCCGGCTGTATTGCACCGGCAAGGAGAAGGGGGACAACGCAAAAAAGGGATACGAGCACACGGTCTAAGCTCCCGCAGACCCTAGGTCCTGTGTAGATACATAGCCACAGGCAAGTCCACTCGGACGCCAGACCAACAGCAACAAAAAATAACCTCAGAAAACACGGGGGGGCGGGACCCACTCGCATGAAACGTGCCAACCCGAAAGAGAGCAAAACTGCTGTGTAAAACACATTTCGGTGGGCACGACAATATATCGAAGCTTGCGGTCTTGCATGGAAAGGCCTGCAAAAGGGAAAAGAAGCTCCAAAACACTATATACTGTGGTTTTCTCGAAACCACCATATGCTGCTGTGGTTTTCACGTGCAAAAACTCGAAACCACTACGATGGTCTTCACGTGTGCACTTTCACCCATGCCGTTCGCGAAAAACAACGTCATGATCATCTTCCTCAAAGAGCCTTGGGCAGGTTGTTGATGTTGCCCTGGGGCTTGGGGGCTGCCGCGACAACCTTAGGGGCGGCCTTCTTAGGAGCAGCCTGATAAGAAGAAGAGCACAAAAGAGCACACACGCAGCGATTAGCGGGCAACGAACATGATAAAACGTCTAACTTTGATCATCCGAGAGAGGGCGTAGCCGTTGCTCTTCCAGGCAACACTGGCGTATTTTCGTTGTGTATACATGTACATGGGCCAAAGCGCGGAATCAACACGCCAAACAGAACACACCATGTCCCCCCACACGCGCTTGCCATCATACGTTTTAAATGAATGATGCGTGAGAGCAGCCAAAAAAGCAAAATTACTGTTGTTTTCCTCTTGTTCTGTTTTGTCGACACCATGTTCCCCACCACCATCCTAGTCACCACTGAGAAAGAAGCCTCTCCAGGGGATGAACCCCCTCTGCGCTTGTTGTACTTTGCCGTATCTCTCCCGGCACATCCCGTCACTAGACTTAGGCAGGCAATGACTTCGAGAAATGAAACCAAAACAGCAGCATGCAGCTTGAAACTGCCGGCATGATTACCTTTGGCGCCGCCTTCTTGGGAGCGGCCTTCGCCTTTGGTGCGGCCTTAGCAGCGGGCCTCGACGAGACCTTGACAGCAGCGGCCCTGGGCGCAGCCTTAGCAGCAGCCTTCTTCGCTGGAGCCTTCTTGGGTGCGACCTGAAAAAGAAACCGAGTTCATATACGACGCCGACGGCGGGGGGGGGGGGGGGTCACTCGATGAAGTCTTGCTACCTACCGCGACATCTTGTGCCTGCCGCGAACTCAGCTCTTCTTGGCAACGCCGCGGCATTTTGTAGCTGCTCCGCTTCTTGGCAACGCGGAGCCTGAGCGTGTCGCAGCGCGCATTATCGCGCAACCAACCTCAGTCTAGAGTTCAACAGCACCAAAAAATAGTCAAGAGTTCAAAAAGCAAGACACGAGTGTTCTCGCGCCGCAGTCATCCCTACCACCAAGGACACCGGGGTGATGCGCATGAATTTGACAGCTTTTTCCTGCTATTTGCAACAAAAGTCGCCCATGCAACGGAGAAAGAACGTGGTGCTTCGCCAACCTAAAGCAGAAAGATGCGTCAATACATAGTTAGCCGTGTAGCAGTACGACAGCCAAGCGTGTTCTATTGCAGCGGCCGCCACCAACAGCGAAAAGAACTCGTGCCTTGACAAATAAAAAAAGTCACAACGAGATCTCACCGTCTTTGCGGCCTTGGCCGGCGCGGGGGTGTCGTCCGACAAACCCGACTTGTCTACGTACACGGGGAAAAACCTTCCGTAGCCGTACTTCTCGGTCCACGTCTTGTACTGCGACGCGAGTAGCGAGAGGATTACGGAAAGGGTTGGGTTGGTCGACCGCGGATTCAAGGTTGGAAAAGGAAAAACAAGCCGATCTGTGAGAGCGCTAAATAATTAGAAGTGAATTCAATAAATAAGATATTAGTAGTGTGGGAAAATGATGACATGTTTTTCAAGCCAAAACTTGCCGCACACGCGAGTACCCGTCGTGGACATTCCGAAAAGCATACATACGTCCATGGAGTGTGTATCTCGTTCAACATGCGGTAGCCCATCTCGCCCCACTCATCTGCCTCTTGAAATTGATCTTAATGCGATCATCCACCAGGTGAGGGATATGTCCAGAGCGCGGGCAAATAGTCAAGTCCACAAGTTTAGAAAAATGAGGCGCAACCACCACCAGGGTGGCAACAACAACCGCCACCACACCACCCTTATTACCAAAAAACAAAAAACGTCACATGCAAACGGAACGGAACAAACACCCGACAACGATGACGATCGATGCCTCCATCACCCCGAAAATGGCGGTTACTCACAAGAGAGGGGTTGGTGGGGATGTCGGCCTTGGCCAGCACCTCCGCTTTCAACTTCATGCGCTCCGCGTTGTTTGAGGTCTGTCCGAAGATCTTCTCAAGCAGTGTGTAGTCACCTGCGGGAGAAGGAAACAACAGCGCAATTGCGCCGCAACATGACAACAGCAACGACGATGAAGGCGAAGAAACGAGTATAATTCAAGCGGGCATCCGCAGACACTCTTTTCTGCCTTTCGAAAACTTAAGTATGTACGTTGCACACGAACGACGTTCCAACGAATTAGTCAAGCAACAGCAGATGGAATGTGGCACCCAGGAGTCGATTACAGAAGTACCGTCTTTGGCTCGAAAACGCTGCCCTGCAATCGCCCACGTCCCTTGCCATGGTCAGTTGCCCAGCTTGAACACCGATCTCCAATGTTCGTTTGGACCCGACCCAACTACCGTCAAAAAAAGCACCAGATGCTCAAACTCCTCCACATGGTCTCAAGCTGAAGCTTTGCTTCATTGACTGCCGAGGCCTGCCCCTCCTTTTGGGAGGCTATGCTAAAACGCTATACAGTAGTTCCATTTCATACCCTTGGACTACAGCAGGAGCGAGCGCATGTTCTGAACGTGCCCAGATGTGCCATTCTATCAATATTTGAGGCCCATACTGGTTTACTCATTCGAGCATGACATCACGGCACCCGGCTCTTGATGGCGCGTGAGGGTGCTGAATCGAGGACGGGCGCCAATGCCAATACAACTACATGCCTGCAACATCCAAAAAAAAAACACCACCACGATCGTACAGCGCACCACCAGGACAATTGCTCCACAGGGCCAAAGCTTCAACAACCCTTTTTGCAACGCACTCACCCTCCTCCGCGACTTCCTTCTCCGTCTTGTCCATCCTGTAGCGCAGCCCTTGCTCCCCCAGGTATTCGCCCAGCCATTCTTCGGAGGGGATGAAGTCCGCCTCCTTGAGCGACCACCCCATGCGCAGAGATGTGCTTGATGTGGCGGTGTTGCTGCGGCCGCGCGCTTGCGTCCTGGATGTGCGCGATGTTGAGCGCGGGGGGGGGGGGGGAAGGGGAAAATAAGAAGAAAAACCCCGCAAAAAAAACAACACCCTGAAAAAAAACAAGAAAAAGTTTTCGGGGGAAAAGCTGTTGTTCCAAAAAAACTTCCCAACCCAAGAAAATTTTCGGGTAAAAGGGTCCCATTATCTAACGGGGGGCTGTAAAAATAAATAAAAAAGAAAAAAACCCAAAACCCTGCCGCCAAAAGAAGTTTCTCCCCCTTTTGTTTCCCCAAAAACCAAATTTCTAAATCCTTTCCGGGGTCAATCTGGAAGGGGAAGGAAGTAATAAAAAAACCCAAGGGTGCAAAAATGTACAACTCCTCCAAGAATTAATTTCCTCCTCAATAACCAAATTAAAGAAACCCCCAAGGTGCAATAATTTACGCCCTGGAAGGACACCCCAATTTTGTGAAGCAAAAAAAAAAGGGGAAAAAAGGTTTTTTTCCCAACACAAAATGGTGCAAACTGGTTTGGGCCCAAAAACTTCCAA